AGTTTATTCAGAATATAACGTGGATTATTTGTCTCGTAAAAAAATATTGTAGATGATTAAGATGGAAATTTGAATTATTTTTGAATACAAAACTGCTCCAGTCATTGAAGTAACTATAAAGACCTCTTGGAAGAAATACCACGTGGCTAATCTTCTCAGAGCATGAATGAATATGACCAAGAGTTATCTCATCCGCAGTAATATCTAAAGTCAAAATAGCTCTAAAAATACCCAATCACCGGTATCAGATAACTGGACTATAAGAAGACGGTGAACGGCCTGAACTTTTGACATCATCTGCCAATGTGCTTTGTAAAATTATATTGCAATAAGAACCCAATCGAAAGTAGACAAACCATAACAATTCCCATTACTGTATGATCCACTAGTATAATTCCTTACTCCTTAAAATATACCCAAATCAAATTACATACATTTGTAAAAAAAAACTGGAATGTTGATAGGACAATTTTGCTCTTAAGTTGTTACCATTGAACCAATGACATGTCTTTAATATAATTTGTTACGCCAGAAGCCTGAATCACGCAAATAATATTTCTTATTAAGGAAGAATCTTTCTTATCTGGCTCCATCTGAAGTAGCATCTGGCTAGGTTGAGTGCTAAATCACATTTTAACTTAATGGCATCTCTTTAAAAATCTCAACCACGTTAACGCAAACTGAAACACTGATTAGACGTCCCTAAACATACAAAGGCGTGGCACGTATGACCACTACACTCGAGTAATTACTGGTTTGGTAATTTCGTATAAGCGTGATGGGTGTTGTCCTGTTAGTTAGCCAAACGTGTATCTCTCCGCTACGAGGTTTTAATTTAAAAAGATATATAAAAATCTTCTATCATCTTAAATGAAAATTTAGTAATAAATATACCTGCTTAGATGGGAATCTAACGGTCAAGGACCTTATATTCTATCTAGAATCATTTGTACGACTAATAGTACGCGAGTTTAAAACTACAGATACCTCAAGCTTCTACTGCTGCAATTTCGGCACATTTTGTATGTTTTGTTAGTATAGTCACCTCATTGTCCGTCTCCATTATAGACCCAAGGCCTAATATTCCTCAAGAGGTTTGACGTCAGACAGGGACATTGCAAGAATCAGTAGTAAAAAGTACATCAGGGCACATGTTTTACCGATTAGAAGCGAGATTTGGTGCTAAAATCAAGAAGATAAAACGTTAGAAGAACACCGTACGACCATCCTGGATATTTCTGCTACAAAACTATCGTAGATTGATTGTTGATTCCACAATAGAGGTAATTGCATTGTAATTAAGGCCTTAATTTCAGATAAGGTTATCTTGTCAACCCTTCTATGCTTTTTTGGGTCATGAGTTAATTTCTGAACTTTCAAGGCAAACAAGGAACATGATGACAAGTTAGACGAGGAGCGCATGATGCTGAACCATCGGTCGACCGTTCGACTCTTTAACGTAATCAATGCCTTTGACAACAAACATGTTCCTTACAATGAATACAAGCAAAATCTATACTAATCTATATATATAAAAATGAATTGCTGTTCGTTAGTCTCGCTAAAACTCCAGAACGGCTGGACCGATTTGGCTAATTTTGGTCTTGAATTATATGTGGAAGTCCAGAGAAGGTTTAAAAGGTAGATAAATATGAAAATGTTCGGAATTAAATAAAAATAAAAATTTTGTTTTTCCTTTGATGCGTCCCCCGTCGGACGGATTACTTTTGTTCGTTTTAAGTTTATTTTAAACAAAAGTTTAGGTTTTTTATTTATCAATTGAGGCACTACAAAGTCTTCCGGGTCAGCTAGTAATATATAAATCTACAGTGGTTTTTACGGATGTTCCGTTATAACTACTGAACCATGCATCCGATTGACTTGTAACTTGGTATCCATGTAGAAAATACATGTACTTAATGGATAGGCTAATATCTATATGAGTGTAGGACTCCCTAATAATAATAATAATGACAATAAATAATAATGACAATTTTAAATGCCCAGCGAAGCGGGCGAGTACGACTAGTCATATATAAATTTAAATATTTATTGTACAAAAATAATAGGAGTTAAAATATGAATTTTCCGTTTTATTGGAATAGGTACTTCGAATTGACATAGAGCCTTCATGGTTTGAAATTTTGGGTGAAGTTTTTTTTTAAAATAGTACCTATGAGGTTCTTCTTTTAAAAAATGTATAACTTTCGATTATCGACTTTCAGTTGTTTTTTTTATTCGGCTTAGACAAGAAAGATGGATACTTCGAAAATTCGAGTGATTTTTGAACACGAGTTCCGACGCGGCACTAACGCTGCAGAAACAGGAGAGGGGACTGCTAATGAACATGATAAAAATGCTTCTGAAGCTTTAGTTAAAGCTTTAGTTTTTTTTTAAATACAGAATTAATCAATAACTCGGACCTTTTGCATTAAAATTAAAATATGTTTAATTAAAAAAATTAATTAAAATTAAAATTAAATAATGTTTTACGATGTTTTCCTCTTGTCGATGTATGTGTACTCTTGTTTCCCTAAAACAACGTATTTCGGTTTAGTTTTAATTAATTACAAATTTTCAAACTTAATTCAAAATATATTGCATTCAGAGATAGTAATTAAAAAGATGTATTGAAATAACTGTTTAAATCCGTCACGACGGAACATTTTAATATTAATACCAGAGACGACTCATCGATTTAAAAAATACAGGTACAAAAATTCACAAGATCAATTATTTTTTTTAAAACAATCGAGACGTTTAAACAATTAGACATGCAATAAAATTTTATTATTCCACCTATAAAATGGGATGGGTCAGTTATACGTGTGTGTAACGACTTTTGTATCTTTAGAAATCAGATAGACAAAAAAAAACTATTTTTCGTTTTAAAAATCATGAATGAGTATTGCTTATGTAGTTTCTTCTTGTATTTTTATTTCAGTGACAACACAAATATCGAAATCGACACAAAAAATTCAAATAGGCTATTCAAGCCTGTATGAAACAAATTGACTTTTTGGCGGGAACGCGAGTAGTGAAGTTGTGTGATTTGTTTTATTTTGTCTATTTAGGGTTTCTTCGGGTTTAAATGTGTAATAATGGTGGTTTATTAACTGTTTAATATCTGTGAAAGTGCACAAATGTGGGAAAATGAAACAAAGCCGCTGGACGTAACTTCTCGGGATCCTCCAAAAAGTCCACTGAAATAATCTTAGTAAATGACCACCATTTTACTGAGATTATATTTCATCCCATTTCATTTCATTTAATTTCATCCCAGTTGATTAATGTCTCAAATTAATCATCTTCATTTAATTTCACTCCATATATAATATTATTTTTCATACAAATATGAATATAAATTAAAATAAGATATAACTTAAGGTATCAGTTACCAGGTCATAAAATCCCTTAAAAAAAATGAAACAAATTTGTTGTTCAATGAAAGATATTTTTTTTGTAAGTTTACTGGTGGATTTTTTTTATTTTGCTCAGGAGGAAATCGCCGGACTCCCAACCTCCACTAGGGATGGCGGGCGGGGTATGTCGGAGTCCTCTACTAGACTAAAACCTCCTGTCACTCAACAACCCACGTCCGAACCTCGCATGAGACAGAACTCATGAAAAGGCAAAGGGGGGAGAGTGAAGCGTTTAGTGCGGAGCACATCTCTCACTCACATCACCCTCTCCCTTTACTGGTGGATAGCATGTATTGTAAATCCGCATAAGTCAATATCTCTACCCTGCTTATTTCTGTTGTGAAGCAGTCACATCTCCTATTGAAAGAAAGGCTGTTAGTATAAACTAAATATATATAAAATCACAACATAGACTTGTCTTAGGATGAGTGACGGCATTAACATTATGATATTTATGACATATTGTAACCATAATAATATAATATGGGATGAACTAGGAAGTCGTCGTGGCCTAACGGATAAGACGTCCGGTGCATTCGTGTTGAGCGATGCACCGATGTTCGAATCTCAGGTGGGTACCAATTTTTCTAATGAAATACGTACTCAACAAATGTTCACAATTGACTTCAACGGTGAAGGAATAACATCGTGTAATAAAAATGAAACCCACAAAATTATAATTTGCGTAATTACTGGTGGTAGGACCTCTTGTGAGTCCGTGCGGGTGGGTACCACCGCCCTGCCTATTTCTGCCGTGAAGCAGTAATGCGTTTCGGTTTGAAGGGTGGGGCAGCCGTTGTAACTATACTGAGACCTTAGAACTTATATCTCAAGGTGGGTGGCGCATTTACATTGTGGATGTCTATGGGCTCCAGTAACCACTTAACACCAGGTGGGCTGTGAGCTCGTCCACCAATCTAAGCAATAAAAAAAAAAAAAAAAGAACTCTGAGTCTGTCCATTGCTGTAGCTCTGTCTCCTCGCACCAACTTCCAGTCTCAGTATTGGCAGTCAGACATGACTACTGCAAATCTGCCCATGTTGGTACCACCTTCTTGCTTATTTTTGCCATCAATTCTAGTTGGAACAGTGAATACTGAGCATTTCATTGAAATTGAGAGTCCATTTTAAAATGTAGGTAAATGTAGGTCTTCTTCTTCTTCTTCTTTTAGATAATTTGGCTCCAACGCCTTTGGCATTGATTTTGCCAATGTCAAAGTATTTACAAAAATGACAGGTGCTTAGAGAGGGAAAAAATTACTAAATCTAAATACAAGTAAATTTGGTCGGTTTTTCCATACGCGAATCTGTGGTTTTAAGAACAGCACAAACAAATATATGTTAGACTAACTNCAATAAATTCATTTGAATTTTCTAGGTGTGATTGTTTAAATAACAAACTTATAGGTTATGTGTGATGGAAACCTAAGCAATTGAAATATCAGTGGTATATGGTAGTTAAATTATTTGTAGTATTATTAATAACATCGGTAAGAAAAATTGTATAAATTTCTTATTTGTAACATAGTTCCTTATGTTATTCGCATGTTTTGAGGTTAGAATTGGTTTTGGTGCTCACCTGCATTGAATCGGCACTGATTATTTCAGTGGCAAATTTCTGTGCTAATTCCACACCAAGCTTAGTTTTTCCTGTCCCAGTAGCACCTAATATTATCACCATTGGAATTCGAGAAGAAATCACAGTACGCAAAGCCATTGTTTTGCTCACACGCGCGAACTTCACTATTATTATGACGTCTTAATCGGTATGAAGTGTTTCGGATTTGAAGTCGCATGAGGCAATGACATCTAAAGCCAACAGCCAACTCGGTCTGTATTAAAAATATTAATATTATTAGTATGTTTCATAATTATAATTCGTTTATTTTATAGTGTGTATCAAGAAAAAATATATGTTTATTGAATTCTTATTATTAATAAACTGTTGTTAACAAACTTTATCAAATAAGACAATTTCATGAATGTTAACTTAAAACTCGTTTCTGTGCTGGTTGATCCTGTTATGATTATAAGACTGCATATCAGCCTTTCCTTTCATAATAGTAATATTTCTTAGTAATAACTCTTAATAGAAACCACAACATAATAAGACGCTGGTATCTTCAAGGGAACCTGGTAGGTTCTGTTAGGTTCTAAGAAGGACGCTCTTTAACTTATTACGTATTAGGTACTTAAATTTAACCAGACATACAATGGAGCATGATTCTCTGATCCGGAATAGTGAATATAGTGTATACAGTCACAATTGAAATCAGAAAACATGCAGTAGAGAAAAATCACGTTATAAACAGTGAGTAGCAAACTATACTTCCCGTTTGTGGACAGTTTTCTGGGAATTGACACTGAAAGAAGCTTCCCTTCGTCACAGAACACGCGTTCCTGCTTGATCCACGTTAAATATTAATATGCTATGAGGCTGATGTTTTACCCACTCTATACCTACCTACATGGCTGACATAAGCTCATTTTATTTATGAATTCCAATTCATATTTTTTTATTAAATTGTTGAACAATGCCGCAGAACATCAAAATATTCTTTATTCTTTCATAATGAATCAGAAATCATAGGAGCTAGACCCGCATAGCACTACTTGCCATGTAGTTTGTTATATATATTTCTAGTGTAATTAATTATTGATTTTCATTCAAGATATGAAGTTGAAAGGCAGTTTGTAGTAAAAAAAACTAGTATATTTTAAATTTATCTTAATGTGTCCATGAGATCTATCGCTCACGTGAATATTATCAGGCAATAAACTATCGATTTGAGAAGTGGTATATCAATCAGTCTCTGGATGCCACTCAGACAATCCTACTTGGGGACAAATTAAAGTGTGTGATTTACTCCAAATAATTTATTTATTATTAACTCCAATATGAATACGAATCGTTTTTAGAAAGTTCATATTAAAATTTTATGTATCTAGTAGTATGTACTATGTACCCACAAACTAAAGCAAATGCAAATGTCGGACAAGCCTACGCATCACGTGAATGTGTACGGCATTCACCGGCTAATTTGTAATTGATACATCGTGCACTGGGTAAAAATTTAATTAAGATTATTCAATGGCAAATCTTTAAATGTCATTGACGCGCTATTTTTTTTGTTCCTAATTCGATTACCAGTTATAATTTAATTAAGCTATTGAATATTCGGATATCGAATTTATTCATTTAACAGTTATGTACTAGTTCTGAATGACTCTGATGTCCTTTTTATATGTATGAATTTATTATTTGTTTCATCCATAGTGTTTTTGCGATTTTTGTTTGTGTATAATAGCTGTTGTATTATTTAGTTTTATACTTCTGTTTTACCATTATTCCAAGGGGGAAGAAAGGAAAAGGAAATAATCGGAAAAAAATAACAAAAAAGCTTTTTTTTTAAGGCGGACCGGATAGAGCTACGGAAACCACACTCGTACCCCACAGGTACATAAATCACAGTATCTCATTGACTTAAATCCACATTATTACAACGAATTAGTATAAAAAATTACATCAACTAGCCAAAAACCTTCCCAGCTCTGTCTCGGTCCAACCCGTTTATTTTATTATTTAATGATAATCTTAAATGTTTCGATACACATAATTAAGGAACAAAAACCAAACTTCTCATCTAGTTACAATAGTATCCAAACAGACGTGGTAAGTACACAGTGTTATTAGATATTAAAACGCCACTTCAAAGATTGCAGAGTACAATATTAAAATTAGGCGGAATCTATGTTGTGCCCTGCATTCTCTGTAGCGGCGCGCACGCACCGATCTGGGGCCGACAACATCGATATTCAGAATCGATTCACACTAAAATCGATTCAAATTTTCGATCGATTTTCCTCGCCCTCAAAACGGTTGGGTGGTCGGCTTACATAAACGGATACTATACAAAAGAAAAAAAAAGTAATAAAAATTAATCTACAACATGACTTATTCATAAAATTTACAAATCAAATTTTTTTTCTTTCTTTCTCAATGTAAAATTTGTTTTTATCTGCAATCTATTTTCTCCATTTTGGCAGTGGTGGAAATGTGCCTTGTCACATCGATGTGCACTTTAATGTCGACTCCCTACTGTATCGATCCGTCTATTGATTCATAAAGCTGTCATTCCTTACAATTAAACTTTTAACTACTGACTTTTCTTAAGTGAAAAAAAAAATATTTTTAAAGACTGTTCAATATCACCGATGTACGTTCGACCGATTCGTTTTTTCTTTTTCTAATTTTTTTTTTTTTTGGATAACTCCATCATAATCGTTATTATTTATGTCAAGATAAGATTAACAAAAAAAATATATAAATGCAGGTACAACATTCGAGAATTCGTAACTCTCCAGTTAAGAAAACTAAACAATTACTAGGAAAAAAAAAAGTCTAGTTTAAAAAAAAAGACTTGCTGATGTACTACGCTCTATTCGCTATTTATATACAAGTTTTACGCCTAGTGGAAGATAAACTGCAAATCTTTAACACGATAACTATAAAACTCCTCGTGTACCACTACTTAGAACAATACTATAATAACCCTAATTAATATTTCTCCACAAAAAAATATTTTCTCGCAACTAATTCGAGTATTAACCTAATTATCTATATTGTATAATTATGTACATAGCAAGGCACATTCCGCACACAATTTTAAAGCCTTTAACTGTTGACCGTGTGATCGACAAAACATCAAACCTCTATTGACACCACTGACCGACCAAACTCTTAAGTCGCCGTTCCGAAACAGCCCGATGCTTTTTCTTCCGGTCAATTAATTAAATAGTCGTTCATACTAGCGCGAGTACATCACTAACTTATTGCGACAATAAAAAATATACAATAAAAAAAATGCAAAATTTACTATTAGTAGGTACTATGAGGAACTATGTCTTGGTTTATATATATATTTTTTTATGTCAGTCCATACGTAGAACTGTTACGAAATAGATTTTGATGCTTTTATCAAAATACACAGTCTATTTCCTTACGATCAAACGTTATTAAACTGAGATTATACGTTTCTATATTCACGTCAACGGTTTGAAATATTAATTTGTGTTCGATTTCATTTAAAACTTATGAACGATGTCAATTTGCTTGTAAAGTACATAAATAAAATACGTAAATACACTAAGTGACGCAATAATGCTAAATGCGATGATGGTACAATAATGTATGCGTGCTTGTCGGCCGCGAGCGTGCGACTGCGACTCGAGCACGCTGCTCTGCTGCGACTAGTCGCAGTCGCACACCACCGGCGTGCCGAAAATAACATATTAGTCATTATATTAAGTGTAATGATTACCTAAGCTGAAGAATGTGCAAATCGTAACTAAACAAATCGATCACTTCAAAAAGTGTTCCACCCATTGAACTATTCCAAAGTTATCGACATAAATAATTCGTTAGTCGCGCGACTATGCGGTAAAGGAAAACTTACTTTATGTGTTAAAGTTTACAAAATAACAAAACAACTACAAAAGAAACCGTAAGCGAACTAATCTAAAACGCAGTTAAACCTTACGAATAATATCAAATTTAAAACAATATTAACATGTTGATATCACTACCCTGCGATAGGGTTCGGTGCGGCCGCGCCCGTTCCCTGGCTGTACGGGCTCTCCGACCCTTGGCCGACACGCATCCTACAACTACGCGATGCCGCGGCGGCGGAAGGCTCAGTAAAAATCTTTTTAAATTTCGAAACAATATTTTAAACATATGTCATATCATTTTCGATCTTTCAACACGGAGTAAATATGTAATGAGTAATGTCAACTATGTATACTTTATTGATAAAATTCAAAAAACGTTTTCTTTTTTTTATAGAGGTATAACCAGTCTACCAGTTCACGAAGCAGTCTGTAACTATTAAGATATTTTACTGACGACCTAATTTATTAATTAATTATTTAACAACAGTTTTATGGCTCACTTTGGCACTGCAAAATATTTGAGCAAAACAAATTCGCGTTCGAACGGTCACGTTCGTTGCCGTCTCGTACAACACCACAGAAGCAGAGTAAGCCGTAAAAGCTGACTTTATCAAAATAACGAGCTCTCGACACTCTGACCGGACCACGATATAGTTCAGATCGCCCGGGCTCGGCGAGAGAGAGAGGGAGAGGCAGGCGCGCCCGCCCTCGTCGCCGAGCCCGACTACAAACAGTCAACAGAGTCTGAAAGCGACTTATTACAATAATTTACCAGTCCGTATGAGTCACGCCGAGTGAACTACCGAGCTCGGAGCGATTTCGTTACCAAGCGTACTCCTCGGATGCTCAGTACGGGTGGTAGCGAGCCGAAAGTGATTTGCGAAGCTTTTTCAATCTCGCCATGAGCTGGTTCTGCTTCTTCCTTAACTTCTCCCGCTCGATGTCCTCTTGGCTCAATTTCTTGCAGAGCGCGGCCGCCTCTCTGAGTATCACGACTTTAGGAGCGCGTTCCTTGTCTCTCGTGGCGGGGATCTGCATTTTGAGCTCGTCGAAGAGGTTTTTGAGGCCGATACGTCTCTGTCGTTCCATATCGTTGTGTATGGAACGACGCTCGATCTCCGGAGACTCGGCCTCGGAGTCCGTGTCGGTGTTAGAGCGGCGGCCGCGGCGTCCCGGGCCGCGGGCCCTCCGTCGCGCGCCGCCCGGCATCACGCTCGCCGGGGGCACCAGCCGCTTCCGTGCGATCGGGCGGGGCGGCGAGCGGGGCGTGCGAGACGT